AACATGTGTCAGTCTGCACTGCTTTAGATCGTTATAGAAACCCCTCATTAGCATGGATGCATGTCCTCTAGAATGGTAGTTAAAGCATGAAGGGACATATGAATCTTTAACCATCTGGCACATAAATATCTTGCGACGCCGGCTACAACAGTGCCATGAGAACACCTGTTCTTACTTTCAGGTGACATTGTAAACAAGAAGCAGTCAGCATTATCTCCTGACAATGTAAACAAACTTGTTTGTCTGAGTGACTGATTGAACAAGAAGTAGGACTGAGTGGACTTGTAGACTCTAAAATTTTACATTGTTTTATTTATGAATAGTTATTTTTTGTACATAATTGTACATTTGTAAGTTCAACTTTCATGATAAAGAAATTGTATTACAGTACTTGTATGAGCTGAAATGAAAAATACGATTTCTTTTGTTTATAGCACAAATATGTGTAATAAAAAATAAATATAAAGTGAGCACTGTACACTTTGTTTTCTGTTTTGTAATTGAAATCAATATTTGAAAACATCCAAAAAGTTAAAATCAATGGTATTCTATCATTATTTAACGTGATTAACCGCGATTAATTTTTTTTAATCATGTGATTAATCACAATTAATTTTTTTAATCATTTGACAGCCCCAGCATTAATATACCTAGTAAGGAATCTATTGGTCAAAAACCATCTCTTTTGTTGTCTGTATTGTTACAGACACACTTGCTGACAGGCATTTTGAAATAAATGACCAAAGTAACTGAAACTCGTGTGATTATATTGTATGAATTTGACAAATAAAACATGCAGAATTTTAAATGTTTGGTGCAGAATTCCCGCAGGAGTAAGGACCCCGCCCCGACCTCAGCCCCCCCCGGCCCACCCCAGCCCCCCCCCCCCCCGACCCCCGCCCCCCCGCCCCCCCCCCCCCGGCCACCCCCCCCCCAAGCCCCCGCCCCCCCGGGCCAGGCCCCCCCGCAGCTTCCCCAAGACCTCAGCCCCCCCCCCCAACACCTGCCCCCCCGGACGAGACCCCTCCGCAGGACCCCCCAAGGCCCTTCCCCCGTTAACTCCCCAAGCTGCCCCACCTGGTGGACCTGGAAGGTGCCGCAGGAGCAGCACCTCAGCACCTGGAACCGTTGCCCCATCCCGTGAGCGGCCGCCCTGAGCTGAGCTCCGCCCACCCCTCCAGCGCGCGGGGACCCTCCCCCAGCACCCGCCGTTCGTTCCCGGCTTCCGGTCACACACACTGGCCTCTACTTCCGGTGGCGAGACAGTCCCCCTGCCAGCTGGGCGCTCTGTGGTACCTTCTCCTCGCCAGTCCGCCAAGCCCGCCCCCTGCCGGAGTGGCTGAGGCGCCTCTTGCGCAGCGCCCCGCCCGGGGAATGGCATGATGGCGGCGGCGGCGGCGGCACCCCCTCCTCCCCCGGCAGAGCCCCGCGCGGGGGGCAGGCTCGGGGTTGTGGTGCCGGGGGGCGGCGCGGAGCAAAGGGAGTTCCGCGGGCAGGGCTGAGCTCGGCCCCCCACGGGTGTTCTGGGTGTACGCGCCTGTCTCTCCGCTTTATGGCCATGCCGCCCAGTGGCTGACTGAGGAACTGCAGCTCAACCCCAGCCTGAAAGCCACGGGTGGTTTTCCCTGCTTAGGTCTGTGCCATTTGTAAAACCGGCCTCTGGCTGCTTCTACCGCCTTCAGAGCACTGACATGTCAATGAGAGCCGCTGGTTGCGCCAGTCCCCCCGTGTCTGTTCCCCTCTTCCCCACTCCAGCTGCTCTGCATGCTGTCTCCTTCCTTCCCCCCTGCCCTGGCTCTTAGCACTCCCTTCTACGGCCCCTCTTCCTTGCCATGTCTCTCTGCTCAGCAGAGCCTCCAAACTGAGATCCACCCTCACGTTTGCCATCACTCTGCTTGCATGTTGCATCCCTTTCTCTCTGTCTGTTTACACGGGACACTCTTTGGGGCAGGGGTTGTTTATCTAACTTTGTACAGGGCCCAGCATCAACAGGCCCTATTCTAGGTTAGTCCTAAATTCTACCATTCTATAATCAGTCCGATACCTTTGGTACCTCACAAGAAGCCTCCCCCAAGTCAGACTGATATTTGTCATTATACCTTCAAGGTTCATCCAGCAATTTTCTATCAGTGTTCACAAGCAAACAGACCTTTCATTTGCTTTTGGGTATATAATGTGAGACATTGGGTATCAAGTGCCTGGTTAAATGGATTCCCTCTTCATCCATTTAGTTTGTAATTAGGCAGTAGTCCATGCAGTTTAGTGTTGATGGGTCCAATAACCTCCAGATGTTTGGTTTCTTCATGGGATTAAGCAGTACAATTTTCTTCCTTCCCCACTGGTACTAAAACTGCTTTTCTTTACTATTAGCACAGCTCCTTGACTGTTCAAATGCAGTCATCAGTGGTAAAGTAAGTTTATTTGCTATTTTTTAGTATTTGTACTGCTGCAGCATCTTGGAACCCATCATCGATCAGCCCCCCACTGTGCTAGGTGCTGCACACCAACATTAATTTCCTTCATATCCCAGCTTGTCTCTCCTCCAGGCTGGTTGGTTGGTTGGTGTAAATTTTTTAAGAATCCCCAGACCTGTTTTTTTAATCAATTTTCCCCCATAAGCTCTTCCTCACTCCCAATGTTTTTTGAAGACAACCATTTGTGGGTGTTTCAATGCTATTTCCCCTCCTCGCTACTTAATGACCTTAATGACTTAATATGCAAACTAGACACAATCAACTCAGGGTTAAACAGGGATTGGGAATGGCTGAGCCATTACAAACATTGAATCTATCTCCCCTTGTAAGTACTCTCACACTTGCTTATCAAACTGTCTGTACTGGGCTATCTTGATTATCACTTCAAAAGTTTTTTTTCTCTTACTTAATTGGCCTCTCAGAGTTGGTAAGACAACTCCCACCTGTTCATGCTCTCTGTATGTGTGTATATATATCTCCTCAATGTTTCACTCTATATGCATCCGAAGAAGTGGGTTGTAGCCCACGAAAGCTTATGCTCTAATAAATTTGTTAGTCTCTAAGGTGCCACAAGTACTCCTGTTCTTTTTGCGGATACAGACTAACACGGCTGCTACTCTGAAACCTGTCATTAATGACCTCTGTTACTCATGAGCACACTAGCAGTTTAAATGCCCAGAATCTATGTACCCAGAAAGTGTGTGTGTTCCATAGAAGCAGCTGACATTTTAAAGATTTTAATGAGAAAAAAATATTCAGGATTTGAAGCTCTTCTATTCCCCTATTTCAGATCACACAGGAGTACATGCCAAATAACTATAGCTTCCTTAAGTATAGATATAGGCAACAAGGAATCTTTCTATATAGTACTTACAAAGAGTTATTACTAGAATTTCCAGTTTTAGGAGAAAACCCAGCAAGAGTGGGCTGGAGGGCACATTAGGCCACCCAGAGTTGCTGGCAGCTTATTCCATGTGACTTGGAAGATTTTTTTTTTTTTTTAATGTAAGGGGCGGGGGGTGTAAAAAATTTTATTTCTAAATATCAGCCATAAATTTGCCTAAGTACCAAAAAGCTGGAAAGCGTCCAAAAACCTTTCTGCACAGGATCTCTCTGACCTTTTCAAATAGAAAATCAACATAATCTGCCTTGACCTCTCCTCTCTGCCTTGAGTCAGGCCCTTTCCTTATCCCTTGACTACTGTCATCTACTCCTCTCTGCGCTTGATACCAGTTATATTTTTCCCAAGTCCATTCAAAATGCTGCTGGCTCTTCTCTTTGAGCACATCACTCCTTTCAGTCTTTCCTGGCTTGCAATCTCTACTGTATTAGATATTCTTGCCTTTACCATTTAGCCCCAGCCTATCCGATCTAAAGTACTGAGCTGTCAATTACCCCATCTTTGCTCTTGCACTGATGCCAACATCAATTGCCCATGTATCTTTAAGGCACCTCCATACTTTCTACTACGCCACTAGCTGTGTATTGAAAACCTTCCCATCAAAATGTGAGACCTTTATCCTCTTAAATCCCTCCTTAAAACCTACCTCTGCCCTAAAACATACAAATCACTGCTGGCTGACTTAGGCAAGTGCAAGCTGCAACTTGTGTTTCTGCTGTTCATGTCCTCCCAACCCACCCCCATCCTATTTGTTTGTTTTGTCCACCTACTGAAGTCTGTCCAAAAGCTAGACTTGTGAGCTTTCTGGGGCAGGAACCATCTTTTGTAACTTGTCCATACAGTGTCTGGCACAATACAGTGCATCTCTTATACTTGATGGTGGTTCCTTGGAGTTGTAATATAATCACCCCTAAATTGTATCCTCTGGATTATTAGCCAAAATTCTTGGTGTAAGCTTAACTCAAAAAGCTTGCTTCCATGTGGAAACATCTGATGTATAATAATATATGGAGATATACCTATCTCATAGAACTGGAAGGGACCCCGAAAGGTCACTGAGTCCAGCCCCCTGCCTTCACTAGCAGGACCAAGTACTGATTTTGCCCCAGATCCCTAAGTGGCCCCCTCAAGGACTGAACTCACAACCCTGGGTTTAGCAGGCCAATGCTCAAACCACTGAGCTATCCCTCCCCCCAATATTCCAAAGTCAACAAAAAACAAATGTTTAAGTTATATACTTCAGTGCCCCAGGACTGCTGTAGTAGTTGGCAAAGGCTTTTCCACAGAAGCCGCAGACCTACCTTGATTAAAATAATCATGAAGGTGACCACTGCAATCCAGAGAGAAGGGACATGTTTTTGCATCCCCATAGCGATTAATCTGTGTGCAATTGCAGTCTCCTGGCATTGATACTGTGAGGGAGATGGGAATTGTGTGGAAGGGATAGGGAGAGAAAAGTGAGACCCTGGAGCCAGAGTCAGGTGACACAGGCCAGCCATTGGGTCTACTGCCTTAGGCAACAATCACAGACATACAACCTAGCTATGGAGTGAGGAAAAATCATACGCTCAGACACCTTGAGGGTAAGCAGTGTTCAGCTGATAAAGTGAAAGCCAGTCCAGGGCTGTGTGTGTATTCTGGTTCATTTATTGAGCACATGACAAATCAGACATAGACAATGTAAAATCACATGTATTATCTGTACTTAAAAAATTACAATAAATTACTGAAGAATTAATAAAGCAATTTTACTAGAGCTGCTCTCCAGAGGTACATGACGGAGGAGGCAGAGAATTAAGAAATATGCATTGGTTGTGAATACAGAGAGAACACCACAAAAGGAAGTAACACTGAACATCGCATAAAATGGTACCTTTCTTGGGAACATCCATCAGCTGGCTCCAGTCTTTGTCATCCCCATCTGTTCTGAACACCAGCCTGAAGCACCAATGTGGCTCACCCTCAGTACTGGGTCTGCACCAGCCACATGCCAACATTCTCACTCTCTGCCAATGAGGCACATGCCACTGGAACACAGATGCTTTTGTAATGAGATGAACATGTCTGTATGAAAAGAAATGATGCTTCCTGGGAGGCGAGGCCCTCTCACAGGGAGGTTACCATTCCCAAATGGAGCATCTACTTTCCGCTGGTCCACAGTTAATTTGCAGAGGGTAATCTGTAGCTGCACTCCCTCCAGCTATATAAGCTTTTAAACTTGCGGGTGAGCTAGTCTGTTCAGATTTCAGCGATTAGAGTGATGGCTGAGAGGAGAACACCACAACTTTCCTCCCGCTTCTGCTTTACTTCTCAGGACTGAGGGGTAAACAGCTCTTTGGACTCCTGTTGTACAGGAGGCCTGGAGATGCACATGCTCCTGGAAAGCACTGTACTTCAGAGAGGCTACAAGGAACAGTCACAGTGGCACCAGGTGCTCATGTAAGTTTTCTGCCTCATATAGATCAGATCTGCTGTGGTCCTGTCCACAGTGAGAAACTGATCTGCTAAGTGATACATTTGCTCTGTGATAATTTAGTGATTGACATGAGTTCTGTAAACCTGGGTCATACATTGATATTCGACTGATTTATGACAAATTTACTATGGATCTTATTAAAAATTGGATCCATCATTAGTATATTAAAATGAAGTAAATAATTTCCTGACAATATAATTACATAGATATTTTTCTTTTAAAAGCTAATGGCTGTGATGACAGAAAGGTTGTGAACAAACTAATGTCAGAAACAACAAGAGTAAGAAAAACAGATCTGTGTACCGACAGCTTGTAACAACTAGGCTCCAATAAGTTGATTTCCAGTTCAGGACTTGCCTCCATGATCTAACCCCTTGGCAGACCCAATATCTATTACAGCCCTACTGCTTCTTATGCATCAATGCCAAGGAGCTTGTGGCTTCAGACAATTCAAAACCACCAATTCCTTGCGTCAAAGAGTTAAAAACAGAGGCTTAGAAAACAGTGTTTACATGAAACCTTCTTGTACAATGTTGAAAAACCACACGCTACTGGGATGGCAAATCACATCCAATAGAAGCCTCCAGATCTGAGAAACTACTGCATTCAAATCTCAAGATGCTGGGATCAATGGGATACAATTGCAATACATCTGCCAAGGTACAGCACAGTATCTAAGAACCTAATAAGACTATTTTATAGGCCAAGGACCTAGAGCACTTAGACATACTGCTTAGATCACAGAGTGGCAGCCAAAGACGTACAGAGTTTCAAGCTGGGCTGCATCTGCTGTACAAAACTACCCAGGAACCTACAGCAAATGAGGGCAGGGCATGGAGTGGCTGTGTTTGAAATAAAACTTCATTTAAAAAAGATAGCCAGAGGCAGACATGCATAATTTACAGTGGTAATTGCAAGCCTTAGGGGCTATTAGGTTCTAATAGCTTTCATGCTCTTGAGAATGTAACGTAATTCCACCAAGCAGGGTCTCCAGAGAGGTGTCTATGTTAAACAGCCACTGTGACAAGCCACATATTCAGCAGAATCTACTGTAGTTGTTGTGTAGTTATTGGTCTCGGTAAAAAACTCCTGCCATCTGCCCAATGTCTATAGCCTCACCCTTTATCACCTGAGACATTACTGCTTTCCTTGAGTTCAGCCTGACACTGAGGAGGAGAGATCATAGTCACTGGATGAGCTGAACTGCCTCTCTACTTTCTTCTGCTCCTTTATCTTCAGGCCAATGTCAACCTTCTTCTCAAAGTAGTTGACCAGGGCTGTCTCTGTAAGCATGGAAGCCAAGACCTGCTCAAAGGAGATAGACCAGTCCGTGTCAATGGTGCTGCCATATCTTGCAGCTGAACTGCTAGCTTCACAACCAACTAGGACTGTGTCATCTGCAATATCTTCACACTGCAGGGAACCCGTGCTGACCATGGAGTAGGAAGACATGGACATATCGTCTTTGGTTTCATCATCTGACAGGAGCTGTATAGGAGATCCTGGTCCTTCTCCACCATCCCCATCTCCTGGAGTTTGTTTTTCCTGCTGGGTTTTTCCAGCCTGGATATCGCCGGAAGCTCTGTCTCCAGGGTCAGGTTGGGGTTGCTGCTCCACTGCTGAATTTTGACTGTGTTCAGACATTGGTGACTCCTCTTCACTCACAGCATCTTGGGTATTATTTGCTTTGCAGTCATCAGTCTTCTTCATGGGTCGGTTGGAGAATTTTTTCCCAACCTCCCCAATTCGTAGGAGGAGGCTGGCTACAGTGGCAATGGCATGGTACAGCTCTTGTTCCACTGGGTCCTCACTGAACATGTTGTAAAGGGTCTTGCATAACTCTATAAACTGCTCCTTTAAAAACAGGAAACGAAACCACAGGTTAGACTATGAAACCTCCACTAAATCTACAATGGTGGATGAAACTATGAGCCACCTACTAATGACTCCTATTAGAGATCATCCTGTATTAGATCATGCCCTCAAGTAGCAGCTTATGTTTTCATTTACTAATATATAGTCCAATATTTTGCATAGTGCTCCATCTTCTAAAGGTAGTACAAACCCTAGGCAGTGTGTAATCAGGGGAATGGCACTGAGGGGATGTTTGAAGCACACTGCACTAGAGGGGAGCTTTTGTTTAGAGTTCTAATAGGAGAAGGAGGGTTAAATGCACCTGATTTTCCCCACTGGAAATATGTCTTAAGTTTGAAACAAAATTAGTTTAGTTTATAAGTAAAATCTCAAACTAGTCCCCCATCGGATGCACGTCCATATAATAGAACCACTAGAGTTTGACATTATTAGAACTCTAAATATTGAAACAGCAAGCAATGCTGCAAGTAAGGATTAAAGTGTATTGGCAGAACTCTGAGCCTGTTGTATCCTGCCTTACTCTACCTCTGCTGTAAATCGCTCAACTGGAAACACATTCTCAGTTCACTTCCTACCTGGTTCATTTTGGGGAGATCCTTGATGGTTTCTTTCTTGGAATACTTTTCCTTGGCCCACATTCGCAGGTAGTATCTGTAATCCTGGGGGCTGGTACCCTTCTCCTCTGCAAGGCAAGGCCAGATCATTAGAGTCAGGGATTTAATGGATCGAGATGCCAAACCAACCTAGTTTCCTTCTCTGACAAGGTTACTGACCTAGTGGATGGGGGAGAAGCAGCAGACATGATATACCTTGATTTTAGTAAGGCTTTTGACACTATTCCACATGACATTCTCATAAGCAAACTAAGGAAATGCAGTCTAGATGAAATTACTATAAGGTGGGGGCACAACTGGTTGTAATACTGTACTCAAATAGTAGTTATCAATGGTTTCCTGTCAAACTGGCAAGACATATCTAGTTCAGTCCCACAGATGGGTCCAGTACTATTCAATATTTTCATGAATGTCTTGGATAATGGAGTGGAGCGAACGCTTATCAAATTTGCTTATGACACCAAGCTTGCAAACACTTTACAGGATAGGATTACAATTCAAAACAACCTTGACAAATTGGAGAATTGGTCCAAAATCAACAAGACGAAATTTAAAACAGCCAAGTGCAAAGTACTACACTTAGCAAGGAAAAATAAAGTGTCCAAATACGAAATGGGGAATAACTGAGTAGGTGATAGTCCTGCTGAAAAGCATCTGGGGGTTATAGTGGATTGCAAATTGAATGAGAGTAAATAATGTGATGCGGCTGTTGAAAAGGTGGACACCATTCTTGCGGGCAACAGGAGTGTCATATGTAAGACAGGAGATAACTGTCCCGCTCTACTTGGCCCTGGTAGCCTCAGCTGGAATACCGTGTCCAATTCTGGGTGCCACACTTTGAGAAAGATGTGGACAAACTGGAGAGAGGACAAACGATAAAAAGTTTAGAAAACCTGATTTATGAGGAAAGGTTAAAAAAACTGGGCGTTTGAAAAAAGAAGACTGAGTGGGGCCCTGATAACCGTTTTCAAATATGTTAAGGCCTAAAAAACATTGACCAATTATTCTCCATGTTCATTGAAGGATGGACCAAAAGTAATCAGCTTAATCCGCAGCAAGGGAGATTTAGGTTAGAAGTTAGGAAAAATATTCCAATTATAAGGGTAGTTAAGCACTGGAGGTTGTAGAATCACTGGAAGTTTTTAAGAACAGGTTGGACACACACGTGTCAGGCATTGTCTAGGTTTACTTGGTCCTGCCTCAGTGCAAAGGGGCTGATCTAGGTGACCTCTTGACGTCCCTCTTCCAGCCCTACATTTCCATGATTCTATGCTGGCAAGAATACTGTTTTAGAGGGTTTCACTGACAGGACTCGGGAGATGAGACCTACAGGGAAGGGCACTCTGCTTTTAGACAGTTTTTCTGATGTGATGCAGAGGAGCAAAACTAACACTGCTGCAATCAGCTTGGCAGTTATGAAATAAACTCTGCTCTTCTGTAAATTTTGCAGTTCTGCAGTTCATGGCTGGTGAGTTAAGGCCTCCCTAGCACATCAAGACCCTTTCAGGGAGGCTGTTACAATACCAGAATCAGCAAGGCACAAAAATTCTCTTGACCACATTACATTGTGCCTCTTTCCATGAGCGAAGCCTTGAGAGGTTTCCTATGCTAGGGTAAAGGGGTAGGAGTTAAAAAACTTGACATTACACGAATGACAAAACTGGGAAATGCCAGGGAGGCTACTACTTGTCCATATTAGGGAATAGTTAGTTACCTTTTTCTTTGGAATCCTCATTTCTCCCTCCTCTGTCTTCCTGAGTAGCTGCTTCTAAACAAACATTGATATTAGAAAAGTGACTCAGCGAATATCCTATTTACTGCACAGTGTGCAATGAATACAAGACAACTTACATGTCCAGTATGGTACTCAGACTGAGTATTTTTAATAAAATTAGGGCTAGCTTTCCTACACCATTCCCCTACAGCAGACAGCAGGACTGAAAGAGCCACAACTTGAAAAATCGACTTGCACACAATAAGTAGGAAGCTTTTCCAGGTGAGAATTAAGTTTGCAGAATGTGAGTTTACATTTTAAAAAGTTCATAAGCCCGGTGGTTCCAAAGGTTACTTGTTACTCATATTTGGAAAGTCAAGTCCTTGGGTTGTGTGAGGTGTCTCCTAAAATTTCCAAGCCTTATGGCATTGTCTAAAATAGCAATTTTTTAAATTTTTTCCACTGCTGCAGCTCAACAGGTGGTAGATGTGACGCTGGCAGACTAGGTGCCAGTTCATGCCAAGGTCCCTAGGTTTCAACTGAACACTGACAAATACATAACTGGAACCAATCTGGCTCACCCATGTGTTAGTATTGTTAAAATAGGTATCTTAGTTCTAAAAATGTGCTTAGACTTCATGGAATGCTTGTAAACTGCTGCATGCATTAATCTCACCTATAATATCTGTATCCCATGTCATAAGATAATACATATGCAACTGTAAATCACCAGTCAGGAGAGAAGCATTACCAAGTGTGAAATACTAGCTTGCCACAAGGAGGTGTTATCTCCTGTCCAACAAAAGAAGGCCCATAAACATTAGACAAACCACTCTGGAACATCAGAGGACAAAAAACTGTTGATTACTCTCCTCATCCCCAGCTGAAGAGGAGACATGCAACTGAATTCCTCCCAACAGCTGAACTTGCAACTTGAAGCAGAAGGGGGGAAGCAATAAAAGGTGGTAACAAGGAGAAACTGTATCTTTTATGCTGCTTAGACTCTGAGGGAGCAAGTACTAGTAAGCATAAGCAAAAGATCCCCAGTGGTTGGCCTGGGTTAGCCCTAAGGGACATATAGAACTTGCATATTATAGAAGCTTCAATTACCTTTTGAAACAGTGGAACTCATTTGTGTGAACGTTTACCTGCTTGTAAATAACCTTGTAAATAACTCTCGTTTCCTTTTCCTAGTTAATAAATCCTTAGATGATTTATTATAGGATTGGCTACAAGTGCTGTCTTTGGTGTGAGATCTTAGGTGCAATTGACCTGGGGTAACTGACTGGTCCTTTGGGACTGGGAATAACCTGAATATTGCTGTAGTACTTGGTGTAAGGGACCACCTTTCACAAAGGTGAGCTTACCTGGGTGACAAGATAGATCAGATTACCCAAGGGGACTGTCTGTGACTCCAGGTTAAGGCTATATAGTGCTTGAGGAGTTCACACTTGATAATAGGTTAGTGAAATCTAAGTGCAGAACTCACAACCAATTTGGGATTTGTGCCCTGCTTCTTAACAGTCTACCCTGAGGTTGTTATTCACGTGCTTGAGCCACCACAGGACAGCTTGACATTAGCAATGGTAGAAGTTTGAAGAAAAGTGTTAGCATATACACAGCCTGTGAATGAATAGGAGTGAGCAGCGGCAGGAAAGGAAAGAGGGAGGAGAGATTGATGGGATAAAGTGGGCAAAGAGAAATATGGTACAAAGGGACAGGTAAGAAAAGAGCACAATATGGAGAAAGAAGAGAGAGAGAGATAAGGATGAGATGAAATAGACATAGAAGTTAACTAAGCCCCATGATCTATTATAGGAAAGAAAAAATGGAATGAGCCCCGGAAAGAAAGAAGATACAACAAAAGCAAGAGAAATTAAATACATAAAGATGATGGAACATTATTAGATAAATATATTATTCAAATGTCACCAATGTTATTTGAGTAATTTATTTGACACTGTTATTCAACCAGCTCTTTAGAGGGTCACAACTTATTTGGCTAATATATTATTCAATATATATTAGTAAAATTTATCAAATAATATACTTAATCCTTTTATTCTGCTATTTGATCAGCCATAGTAGTAAATTAATTTTAAGAAGCGTATTAAATAGACAGTTGATTGACAATGCTATAGTACACATTAAATAGTAAGCAAATCTTTCCTTTAAGCTGCCAGGCTCCGGAGAAGCCCTGGTGATGGCACTGCTATCTTTACATTGGCTAGTAGACTTAGTTCTCAGCCTAGTAGGCGTCAAGTAAATTTTTCAATGTCTGGGAATAGCCATTACCAAATCCCACTGGAGGAACTATAGGTCAAACTTTTTCTCAAGGCCAAAGCCTCTAATTAAAATTAGTCACCTTTGGTTATAACAGAGATGTAACCCAGTAGACAGAATAAACACAGGTACTGAAAGGCATCTAAAACGCACATGAGGCCAACAAACAAAGTGCTAGGGATGTATAGAGGGAGTGCCAGTGGAAAGCAGCAATAAAATAATTTCATGGTATTTTAAATGGCGCTTCAGTGCTGGCAAATTATTTTAGCATAACAACAAAGAGCTCAGTGTGTGCACACACCCTAGAGACTAACCTTGAGACTCACAGTGCAAGAAGAAATCCAGCTCGGAGACAAAAGGAGATACTGGAGCAGCAGAGAGAGGGTTTGAGGGCAGGGTAAATCCCAGGGAAAACAGAGAGAGTGGGCCAGACACAGAGACACACATAAAGGAGGGGAAAAAAAACAAAAAAAAAGAGAGACACAGTGAGACTCCCTGAACTTGGAAACAGGAAAGACGGGCTGGTAAAAGCAGACAGCATCATTAACGTTCCTACTCAGCAGCCTCTGTGAGAGTGTTTCACAGCATGCTGACTTCGCTTCTAGAAAAGCAGAGATTAAACACCACATCAACTGACTCATCTCCCCCATGCAACAATGAGAAGCAACCCTAAAACACTTCTACTGATCAACCCTGCTTTGGAGGGTCACCATTCAAACAGCACAGACTTGTGCAACACTTGCTGCCTGCATCTCTTAGGTTAGAGCAGGTGTTATGTTACCTTCTGTCGAGATGTCCTCTGTGAAATAACTTGTGGCTTCCAGAGCAGACTCAGCCTCTTCTGAGATCAGAGCTGTACATGCAGAGAAAGGCAGAGAGAGAGAGAACAAGAGAAGATGATCAGGTTACTGAGGCACCTCCCCCTCCCATCTGCCATCATGTAACATCCCTGTGGAAACTACAGCAATTACTTACATTGATAATTCAGATATATCAATTTTTTTTTAATTTTGTTTAAAATATTTAGCTGTCCTTCAATGCAATTTAATAGCTGGAAATGAGGCTGGCTATGTAACCAGCTTTCTGCAGATCATCCGCAAATTCTTCATAGATCAGTTTGAGAACCACTGAGGTAGGATATCCACTCATTCCCCTCAGTAGTGGGAATACAAAAAAAAGCTTTATTGAAATATCTAGCAAAACACATAAGGATCCTCCTCAGCCAGTGTGATAGCTACCATTGGGTGTCTGAGAGGAGGAGGGAGAAGAGATCACTCACCCGGAGGCAGGTGCAATTTGTAAAGTAGTTTAAGCTTCTCAGTCAGGTCACCATGGTACATCCCACCTGTGCAGGAAAGGATGAGATAAATAGCCCTTAGTGTTAAGAGTCACTGATAGCTGACAGGATCCATCAAACAGACCGCTAGAGTTCCCATACAAGCAAGGGGAAGCTGAAAAGATCTGCAACTACAGCTCCTGTACAGAAAGAAATCTGTGCTGCTGCATCCTGCGCAAAGTCTAACTTGTTTAGCAAGAAGGCATTTCTCATTCTGTAATGACATCGTCCTCCCTCCTGGATGAATTCCATTGTCTCTCTACGGTTATGTGCTTGGAACAGTGGAAAACTTTGCTAAAACATTCCACAGCATCTCTACAAAAGACACTTACTCATCCCTGTAACAAACTCCTTGAAGTTAATGAGAGAGTCCCTGTTCTCATCTAGAAGCCGGAACATTCGCCCTGCCAGCACAGGTGTGTGGAGGCCACAGGACCAGAGGGTTAGACTGTCAAACAGCTCTCTGAACTGCTCCAGGTCAATGCGATACTGCTCCAGGTAGGGCAAGCTCTGATCTCGATGGGCGGCTGCAGTGTGGCTGCTCCCCCAATAACAGCTTGTCAGGTGTTTTGCCTTTGAGGGGAAAGAGTTAATAGGTCAAACAACTAATAGTTACACAAACCTTCATGCTTAGAGACTCAATTATACCTCATGGACAAAGACACTGCGTAGCTAGAGAAGAGACTTTTGCTCATACGTCTATTTATCTCCTCCCCTTATTTACTCCGAAGATCATGTGTGATCATGGCTGAACTCTGAGACATGAAAGAAGAGGATCTGATCAAACTAGAAAAAGACTGATTTCAAGGAAAACAAAAGGCACTATCAGATTTGGATGAAGACTCAGGCAGAGTTTTGAGTACACAAGACTTGTCACAGAGTGAGAATTAAAGTTTTATGAATAAGTCATACCATCTTACTTTGCTAAGTCTACATCTTGCAACTGAGTATTTCAAGGCATCACAAACATTGAGTCTTATTACTCTCATGAGGTAGGGAACTATCACCCCATTTTTACATATGGGCAAACTGAGGCACAGAAGGGTTAAGTGACTTGCCCAAGATTACAGAGCAAGTCAGTGGCAGAGCTAGGAATAAAACCAAGGACGTCTGAATCCCAGTCCCCTACTCTAGCCACTAAAAACATTCCTTTCCAACACTGCCAGCATCTCTCTCTGTGGAATATCATTTAAATGCTGTGAACAGTTTTCCATCATCTTTGTAAAAAAATAATCAGACATACTAGAGCCAGTCTCACTGGCACCATCCCAGAGCCCCACTTCTGCTTCTGACAGATCAGATTCTGGATAGAAACACAATGCTATTACTTGCCCATCCACTCAATCTCGAATATCTTTCTGTATATCAGAGGCAGAGTGACTAGGACACATTCTTCCCCATGCCAGGTTCCTACCTTGAACACCATATAAAGCTCTTCTAGTTCTTCCATAGAAAAACCAATGTCACCAGATATAGCTCGGACCTAAAGTAAGGAAGAGAAACAGAATGAACATTTATTTATTACTCCTAAACTGTAAAATGTATTCACTTACTATATGAAACAATATTTTATATACCATGAAAAAGGCCAAGAGACTTGACTAAGTTATAAGGGAGGAAGGAGTGTTATAGTGATTTTGAACTGAAGGAAAACAGTCCCACATTTCTGAGTTGCTAGGACAGGAAGATGCCAGCAACTGCTGACAAAGAGAACAGCTGTACCTGCCTTGAACAAGGAGGGTAAACAATAAAAAGCTGCTCAAAGTGTTAAATGTGTTTTCTGCTCTGACTGCACTGTAACTGGAAGTGAGAACAAGTAACATATCACCTCTTTGCCTTTGTTTCACTTTGTGGCTTTCCAATGCACCTATTGTCAGACATCTATAGCGGGTGCTACAGTGAGAGGGGCAAAGGGAACAGGTTTCACAACTGGCACAAATAGAAGAGTAAAGTGGCAGTAAGATGCAGATGCTCCTCCTCTGCCCCAGTCCTCTGTGGGTTCCCAACATCATAGCACACACTCTGAGTGGGAAGGACATCAGTATCTGCCATCTTGCAACCCTCAAAGAACCAAGATGAAAAGTAACAAATACAGGCAGCTCTAACCAGTGGAAAGTGTTACACGGCCTGTTGTGGTTCATACTGGCAATGATTTGCCTATAATTCTACCAGGATCATGTCTTAGCACTTCAACTGTTTCCTCTGCTCTTCAACCCAACTTGTTAGATTAGATCAATGAGAGCTAAATGGAAGTTGTTCAAGTCAGCAGATACATTTTCCACATTAACCATCATCCCTTTAGCCACCACATTCTGGGTTTGCTACAGAGATTTTCAGAGGACTCAAAGCAAAATGTGCTGCATTAACATGCCAACTGGTAGCTTATTTAATCTGGGTGTTACATACCACGCTCCTCTTGGCTGTGTCCTCCAGGGATTGGATCACCTTCAATCTTTGCTTAAAGCGCATCTGTTCAATGTCATCTGCCCTCAAGTTGCTGAATTTCTATAGTAAGGAAGAAAAGCACATCGGTTTACCCCCATCTATCTAGGAGACAAGTCTCACATTCAGTGACATTGTTCAGCAAATCAGGAATCACCTTAGAAGTGACCTGAAAGGGAAAAAATGCCTTTTTGTCACTAGAGATGGTCTGCTAAGACTCTTTTGTTAATGGTGGGTGGGAAGTATAAGAACATGTGATGAGATGTGCTAGCCCTCATTAGGAATCCATGTTCAAATTGAGTGATGTACCTGTAAGGAGGCTGGGCTTTTTCTCAACAGCACTAATCAGACAAGTAAAATGATTTGGATGATGCTGCTTTAACAAGGAGGGAAAAAGAAGGAATGAACAGTCAGAAAGAGTAGTGCTTTGAAGGAAGAGAGTGCAAAGACAGAAACAGGATTTCCTTGAGGAGGAGACAAACAGGCACAAGTTAATGAGAAACCGAGACTAGAAAGCAACGTAAGGTGCATGGGAAGAACAGCATAAGGGTGAGCTGAAGGGAGAGGAAAAGGACAATGACAGAAGACAGAGAGGAAGAGAGCATCAGAGAAAAGAAATCCACCTGAAAAACTAAGTCTTTTCCCAATTTTTCTAATTGCATTGAGAGAGAGGACGTGTCAAGTGTGCACTGATGACTGTCCTGGTAATTAAACATAAAAATAAGCTATTTTCTCCCATGCACATACATAATGTTGTCATCATCCATGAAGAGTTACTTCTGGAAAAGTGTAGTTGGGAACCAGGGAGAACTCCCGCTATTTCTGTAATATGGCCTATTGGATTCATGGCTGCTGCTGCCACCACGCCCAGGTTAGGAGACTTCAGGTCATCCAGCTATCATCACAACACAGACACCGCAGAATGGGATTCATGGGCATGCCAAACCTGGCACTATGAGTTTGGTGCAGATATATTACTCAACTCTCCAAAAGTTTATCCCCAAAATATTCCTTTTTATTCCAATGTTCAGTAATTAAGTTACCTCCACAATTCCCTGGCATTGGCTAACCCAATAGGCAAAATAACAGTCTAAAGCTTTTCTCCACAGAGCGGAGGGAATCTCTGACCTATTAGCTTTAGCAGGCACTGAGAATCAATTTTCAATTTTAGTTAGCATGGTTGGTGAGATTTCATGGAATCTGAAAAGAAGAACAACAGAGTTGAAGTCCCCTCATATTTAACATGAAGACTACTGGCCCAATCCTGCATTCCTTGCATAATCCATATTCCTAGGCTTTGTCTACACCAGTGGTCCCCAATGTGGTGCCCGCGGGCGCCATGGGGCCCACCTACTGACCAGGGAGCACTCCGCCACCGAGGAACGCAACCGCCGAACAAGCAACCTCTGAGAAGCAGCAATGTCAAGAAGTGTCGCCGCCGAAATGCTGCTGCTTCTCGGTGGCGACGCTTCTTCGCGTTGCCGCTTCTCAGCGGCATTTCGGCGGCGACGCTTTTTCACGTTGCCGCTTCTCGGCGGCATTTCGGCAGCTGCTTGTCCAGCGGCCGTGCTCTTCGGCGGCTAGTCGTCAGGAGCCCACCACATTGAAAAGGTTAGGGACCACTGGTCTACACCATAGGGGAAATTCGATCTAAGCTAGACAATTTGAGTTGTGACTAGCATAACTCAAAACAACATAGCTTAGATCTACTTACTGCAGGGTCCACACTACGTGATGTCGACAGGAGAGTGTCTCCCGTCGACTCCCCCTACTCTTCTCAATCCAGTGGAGTACAGGAGTCAACGGGAGTGCAATCTGTGGTTGATTTAGTGGGTCTTCACTAGACCCGCTAAATCGACCGCCAATGCATCGATCGCTGCAGCGTCAATCCTCCAGTAAGTGTAGACAAGCACCTAATGAAGCCAATGAGTCTTGGCTGCACAAGGAATGCAGGACTGGGCCTTAAGTGGCAAAGATCCCTCAAGTAAATATTAAGCTTGCCTCTGACCTCATAAGATGTTTTGATGAGTTCAAAGATGTCAATTTCAAGCGGTGGCTCATCTCCACTTGTGAGTAAGGCATGCAGGTGTGGAATAGGTGGGGAAATACTTTGTCGATTAATTACATTGTCCAGGTACCTGTGGGGATAAACAAAGAACAAAGGCAGAGCTCTGGGTTAATACAATCTCAAGAATTAACAAAAAAGCAAGTAAGATCTTAAACATACTATTTCCACTTCCTTTGGACAGTCAATCTCATTGTCTGGAATAATTTATTTCTTCCCAGCTAGCCTGCCTAGCTCCATTGATGTCTCTTTCACTCTAGTACAATCAGTTTTCATTTCATTCTTCAGAGCACTTGTTTTTAAATGAGGTTTCAGAAAAATAAGGTGCAGGTGGTGGCATATTTGGAATTGATTAACATTTCACTTTGCTACAGGAAGCCTTCTTACATTTGCTACATTACAGGAAG